TTCGGTCACTCCACTCCCCGCTGTTTTCGTCGCCTGGACGACCTCTTTCGTCAGCGCTTCGGCCCGTCGCCAGACCTCCCGGACTGGCACAGTTTGCTTAGTCGTAAGATTCAGATTTTTGATATGGACATGGATGCCATTGTTTCTGCTCTGCATGTGATGTATGCTGATGACTCTAGTGTGCTTCCCGCTTATTACTCACTGTTGCCTAGTGTATGTGTGCCTAGCTTAGCCTCCCCTGCTGCGTCAGGCGTAGGATCCCCTGCTTTGTGTAGTCTTGGTGCTTCCGCCGTCGTTCCGTCGCCAGACCCCTCGGCTTCGCTTTCCTTCACCTTGGACTCTGGCGCCTCTCGGTGTTTCTTCCGCGACTCCACCACCCTGACGCCGCTTCCTGTTCCTGCTGCCGTTTCTCTTGCTGACCCCTCCGGCGGTCCGGTAGTCGCCCGCAGTTCCACCACCCTTCCCTGTCCGGCGGTTCCTTCGGGTTCTCTTACAGGTCTGCATATCCCCTCGTTCTCCAGGAACCTAGTTGGTGTCGGCTGCCTCCAATACCTTGGCGTCACCACTACGTTCCCTGGTCACGAGCGGTATGCTGTCTGTACCGAGGCCGCCACTGGTGCCCCCCTGTCCACGTTCCCCCGGGACCCGGTGTCCCGCCTGTTCACTCTGGACACCGTGACCCCCCTGGCTGGAGCGCCCCTTCAGGTGGCTGCGTCTACCCAGGTTGCTGCTGCCTGCTCCTGTCGCTCCCTCACTCACCCGACCCTCCTGTGGCACCACCGCCTAGGTCACCCTGCGCTCCCGCGTCTGCGTCACATGTCTCAGCACGGTCTCGTCCTTGGTCTCCCAGGTTCGCTCCCCGCGTTTCCCTCCTCTCCAGCCCCACCTTGCACGCCTTGTGTCGAGGGTCAGCTTCGCCGTGCCCCTCACTCCTCCTCGTTTCCCCCTACCGCCGCGCCGCTGCAGACCCTGCACCTGGACGTCTGGGGCCCCGCCCCCGTCCCTGGGCCGCGTCGAGAGCGCTACTTCCTTGTGCTTGTCGACGACTTCACTCGTTACACCACCGTCTTTCCCCTGGAGCGCAAGGCCGACGTGCCTGGCGCTCTCATCCCCTGGCTTGTCTCTGCGCGTGTCCACCGCGGTCTCCCTGTCTTGCGTCTTCACTCAGACCATGGTGGCGAGTTTGCCTCCGGTGTCCTTGGTCGCTTTTGTCGTGCGGAGGGCATCACCCAGACGTTCACCCTACCGGACTCCCCACAGCAGAATGGGGTCATTGAGCGACGCATCGGTTTGGTCATGGAGGTCGCTCGCACCTCCATGATCCATGCCGGTGCACCCCATTTTCTGTGGCCGTTCGCTGTGCGCTACGCTTCTCACCAGCTTAACCTGTGGCCGCACCCTCATCAGCCGCAGGTTTCGCCGACCCGTCTTTGGACTGGGTCCCCTGGTGCCGCGTCTGCGTTCCACGTCTGGGGCTGCCTTGCTCACGTCCGTGCCTCCGGCACGGACAAGCTCACTGCCCGCACCCTTCCCTGCGTCTTCCTCGGTTTTCCCCTTGACGCATCCGACTGGCACTTTTACCACCCGCCGTCTCACCGCTTCTTTCACTCTCGTGACGTCACCTTTGACGAGTCCGCCTCCTACTACCGCCGCTTTCCCCACCGTGGTCCCCCGGTTACCCCCCCCCTGTTCCTGGTCACTCCTTCCCCGGTAGTCCCTGCCCCTCCTCCTCCTCCTCCCCGTCCCACCCCCTCTGGTGTGTCCCACGTCACCCCCCTTCCGTCCGTGGACCGGGTTGAGGAGTCTTCTGCCTCTGGTGGCCCTCCTGTGCAGTCCTCGCCGGCCGCCCCTCCCCAGGTGTCCCCTCCCCAGTCCCCTCCTCCACCGCCCCTACCGCTGCTGCAGCCGTCGTCGTCGCCGCCGCCGCCGCCGCCGCCGTCGCCTCCGCCGCCGCCGCCGCCGCCGTCGCAGCCCCCGTTCGCCGACTCTGGGGGTGCTCGTCCCGGTCGCCCTGGGGGTGGTCCCTCTGGGGGTGCTGGTGTGGAGAGTGCCGGTGGTCGCCGAGGAGCAGCTTGCGGTCCAGGTGTCGCCGTTGTGCCGCCGCAGCAGCGGTCCCCGCCGGTGTCCGCCCTTCGCCTGCTCGGCCTTCCGTCCCCCGACCCTGCGTCGGTTCCTCCCCGACCGTCTCCTCCTCTTCCTGTCTACGGCCCTGTTTTCCCTCCGCCGGACTCGTCCCCGGCTCGTCTCCCCCCTCGTTCCCCTCCTGTGTCCCCTCCCCTGTCTCCTGACCCGACTCGTCGCACGTCTGGTCTCACCGCCCCTCCCGTGCTCGTCCTGCCTCGCCTGTCTTGCGCTCCCACCCTATGTTGCTTCGTTCCCACGCGTCTCGTCCTCCCCTTCTCCCGTCGCCTCCTCCGTCCTCCCTTGTTGTTGCGCCCCCCCCGCTGTCCGACTACCTTCGTGCCGCTCGTCCTCTCGTCCCTCGGGTCCTTGCCTCTCTCGTTACCGACCCGTCAGTTCCGGTCTCGTGCCTTGACGCTCTTGTCGCTGCTGTCGCTGACTTCGCCTCTACCCGCCGCCTTGACTACGCCACCGCTCTGGTCTCTGACCCTGCCTGTCCTCCGTCTGTCGGGGGTGCTCCTGCCCTTGGCAGTGACGTCCTAGAGGACCGCCAGTTCGAGCTTGCTTTCCTGTCTGAGGCTGCTCCCCATCTCTGTTCCATGGTGCTAGTCCCTGAGGGTGACCCAGACGCTTTCGACATCCCGACCCCTCGCACTTACGCTGAGGCGACTTCGGGACCCTGGGCCTCACAGTGGATAGCTGCCATGGAGCAGGAGATGGCATCTTGGAGATCCACCGGCACCTTCGTCGACGCAGTTCCCCCACCTGGGGTGAACGTAGTCGATGGCCGCTGGCTCTTCAAGGTGAAGCGCCCTCCTGGAGAGCCGCCTGTCTTCAAGGCGCGCTATGTTGCTAGAGGCTTCAGTTAGCGCGAGGGGGTGGACTTCTTCCAGACTTTCGCTCCGACCCCGAAGATGACTACTCTTCGGGTTCTGTTACACGTAGCTGCTCAGCGTGACTACGAGCTTCACTCCCTCGACTTCTCCACTGCCTTCCTTCAGGGCAGCCTACACGAGCAGGTCTACCTGCGTCGCCCTCCGGGCTTTACTGGCACCTTCCCTCCTGGGACCCAGTGGCTCCTGCGGCGCCCCGTCTACGGCCTGCGCCAGGCTCCCCGTGAGTGGCACGACACTCTTCGTGCTACCCTTGCTGACCTGCAGTTCTTTCCGTCTTCCGCAGACCCTTCACTCTTCGTTCGTGCTGGCCAGACTCCGTTCTACATCCTTGTTTACGTCGACGACCTGGTCTTTGCCACGGCAGACAGGGACGCACTGGCCTCCGTGAAGGCAGAGCTGCTGAAGAGACACACCTGCACTGACCTTGGAGAACTGCGCCGTTACCTTGGCTTGCAGATCTCCAGGGACAGAGCTGCGCGCACCATCACCCTGACTCAGTCACACTTGGTGCGCCAGGTCCTTCAGAGGTTCAGCCTTCAGTTCTCCTCTGCACAGCCCACCCCTCTGCCTGTAGACCACAGACTCTCCGCTCCAGTACCTGAGGAGGTGGTAGAGCCCAGTGGCCCCTACGCAGAGCTCGTGGGTTGCCTCATGTACCTGATGACTTGCACTCGCCCAGATCTCGCATACCCTCTCAGCATCCTGGCTCGCTTTGTGGCCATAGGCAGGCACCGACCGCAGCACTGGTCTGCCGCTAAGAGGGTTCTGCGTTATCTTGCTAGTACATCGGGCATGGGGTTAGTGCTAGGAGGACGCAAGCCAGTGGTCCTTACTGGACACACAGACACTTCGTGGGCAGACAACGCTGAGACACTCAGGTCTACCCAGGGCTACTGCTTCAGCCTTGGCTCAGGTGCCGTCTCGTGGAGAGCTACCCGCTCCTCGTCTGTTGCGCAGTCCAGCTGTGAGGCTGAGATCTACGCTGGTGCCATGGCGGCACAGGAGCTCCGCTGGCTGACCTTCTTGCTCACCGACCTAGGTGAGCGGCCTAGCTCTGCCCCGGTCCTGTTCGCTGACAACAGGGCCATGATCCTCCTGTGTCAGGAGCCTCGACTCGAGGGCAGAGCGAAGCACATTCAGCTGCGGTACTTCCTCCTGCGTGAGCTACAGCAGCGACGTCAGACTCGCGTAGTACACTTGGCCTCAGGTGCCAACACAGCTGATATCTTTACGAAGGCGCTTGCGCCTAAAGATCATCAGCGGCACTGTGTACAGCTTGGTCTAGTTCCTGTCGCTTCTCACTTGCTAGGACCTTGACTTTGTACTGTCCTTTATATGTATACTCAGACTGGACTTGTGTCCTCTCCCAGTGGCTGGACTAGTAGTGCCGCCCTGGTCTTGTTCTTGCCTTGTCTGTACTCCTTCTGACTGGTCTCTCAGACGCTTGTCTCAGAGGTTGGACTAGTAGTGCCGCCCTGAGCTGCTTGTTTAGGGTATTCCCCTATGCAGTCTAGGGGGTGTGTCAAACATCTGCATTTGTCATGTTTGTATAGACTGTATAGGGTTACCTCTTAGAGGGTACAACACTTAGGTATATTTGTGTGTACTCTCAATTTACCATGAATTCAATTTTCAATTCTGATAATTACGAGGGACGAATATTCTTGCGCAAAAATTTCGTCTGAATTTTAAGACCAGTGTAAAAGTTTCGTCTGAAATCTCAGACTCCTTGAAAATTTTCGTCTGATGGTCAGACCAAACTTTGAAACCCTGTCTGATTATCAGACGGCCCTAAATACTAACTGAAACCCTGGTTGCGACTGACCGTAATGGCAGCAAGGACGGTAACCGAACCGACAATCGAGTTGCTGTGCGACTCGATAAACCGTTCCTTCAACTGTATTCTACAACTGCTTTACTTTCCTATTTTCTATATATTGCTGTATGCATGTTTCTTTTAATCAATCAATTGCTCTCACATACTAGTGCAAGGGTTCAACTACTCAACACTTCCGCTGCACTACTCAAGCACCTTGTACAAGTGGGACTTAGTCTCTGGAAAGATCCTAAGGGCTTTTCTCAGCCCAACAATATGCATGCTTTAGATATTTTGAACCTTCATAATTTTATATAAATCTTATTCTTTTTTCGTAACCTTAATACAATAGATAAGATGTATCTTATAATAAAGATGTATCGTCCGAGAATGAATGACGTGTCTAACATTCTTTGCTGTGTACAAACTTTTGCTGTTCAACAAGATGCATGCATATTAGGGATTTAAAATACACCATGCATAGATATGCTAATATCTATGCAATAAAATGTATAACAAATATGAATAACCTACCCAACTGCATACGCAACCGATCCGACGCAAGGCGTCGAACCTTGTTCATTTCTACACAATTGGACAATCAGTTCTGTGTGAGTTCGCATCGAAGTTTCAAATGTTGTGTCGGCCAAATGTTCGACTCCTGGTAGTCTGGTCATTATTGTCATTGTTAAAACCTGCTGCCCAAAACGTTCATGCTTTAGAAACATGACGTGCTACATTTATATATTCTGTGAGTGACGAAATGGTTGATTTCGGCAAACCTGTCGCGAGTGTATTTCGTTTCGCTTAGTCAGCGAATCCCTTGGGCATTGGTTGGGTTGGGTTGGGAATCCCGTAGTCAGCGAAGTCCCAAATTGCAATGACCCCCATTTTCAAGTTCCCGCAGGCTAAACCACGCAAACCCCCCATTCAAGATTTCGACCAATCTAGTGCCTTCGCGGTGTGTGTAACCCTAGTTTCGTGAAAAACGCCATAAAATCGTCAGATTTCACCTTTCTAAAGCTTGAACCACGCGACACGCAAGTTCGCACCAAAATGACGTCGAACCAACTTCTGGAGGTTTTGGGGGTCTCGGACGTCAGTCAGATTAGCTTATTTTGACGTCCGACGCCACTTTTAACATCCCCTTACTGTACCTCGCTCTCTCGGGGCAGTACCTCACCCTGCGTTCCCACCAATTTTCGGTCGCCCACATACGAACCAACATCTCTCTTCCAAAAGGACCTGGGACTCGTTCGCCAGTCGCTCGCCATTCGCTCATAGCGCGTTCGCCATCAGTTCGTCGGTCGTTCGCCATTCGTTTGCCTTCATCCTTGCTTCGCTCGACCCCTCCCCAATTCCTGCCTCCACGCCACACGAGCCCCACATCGTAGCTTTTTGTTTCTATCAGTTTCTTTTCCCCCACTCCGCCTCCGCCTCCTCTCCTCCTGCATCTCCGCGCTGCTGCGGCCTCCACTCGCCTCCCGCGCGCGCTGTGTGCCGCAAGCCGTTGTTTGGATCCGGCACGCTCTCCGCCTAGGCGCAGGCGAGTGCGCGGCCCTCCGTGCGCCGCTTGCTCCTGACACGCGCGGAAATGTCGCGCGCCAGGGTGCGGTCACGGGGGACAGCGCGCATTGGGGGCTAGCGGCGACGTGAGCGGCGGGCGGCGAAAGATAGGTGCAGCGCGCCGGCGGACTGGGCTAGTGTGACTAGAGGCGGAGGCCGGTCACGAGATCACTGCGACGACAAACTCTCGCGCGCGCGCCCAGAAGCATGCAGACATACAGGGGACGTTTGTGAGGCGCTTTAAACAGCCCTCCTCACGCGCGTGCTTACCTGGACGTCTCCGGGCACACAACAGGAGACGCGAAACAGTCCGGCGAGCGGGGGGTTGCGGATCAGCGCCGGGAATACAACACAAGGGCCGGGGGCGGGCGGGCGGGCGAGGGCGGGTGCGTGGGTAGGAGGGGCAAGGCGGCATGGCGTCATCGCCAGCGGCGGGCGGAGGAGGCGCAGCAGCGTCAGGAGCGGGAGGCGCGTCAGCGTCACGTGCGGCAGAGGAGGCGGTGATAGAGCGCGCGATAGAGGCGCAGGTGCCGTGGCACCAGCTGCCGCAGCGCACGCGCATCCTCCTGGGCACCATGGACATGTACCTGCAGCGGTGAGCGCCGTGCCATGGAGGGGGCAGATTGCGAGGCGAGAGAGAGACGGCGTAGGGGTGGGGGACATGTGGTGGGTAGATGGGGTGGGGGATGGGGGCGGGGGCGGAGAGAGGCAGGGCGAACGGAGGATCGGTGGTAAGGGTGACGCGAAAGGCAGATGGGAGGAGAGAGAGGGGGAAGGGGAGAAAACCAGCAGGGGAGGTCAGCAGGAAGGGGGAGTGGAGGACGCAAATTTTGCTGTGCCATTTGATCACATGCATCTCCCTTCGTTCCCACCCATCCTCTCCCACTCATGCGTACACCCTCCCCCTCTTGCCTCCCCCCACCCCCACACACGCACGGCAGCATGATGGCGTACTCGCTGCGCATGCAGCGGCCATGGCAGGCGCAGGTGCTGGCGCCCATCTGCTCCGAGCACGACTACTATCTCGACCTCCTCTCCATCCTGCACCACAACCAAGACGTGCGCTCGCCCCCACACCCACCACCTCCCCATGGGCGGAGACCGCTTGCTCGCTATTGCTCGGTTTCTTGCTCTTACTCCCATCCTTACTCTCTCTCCTCGGTTTTCCTGTCTGTCTCGGCACTCTCTCGCTCACTCCCTCACCTTGCTTCTCTTGTCCTCTGTACCTGCCTCGACCCCGCTCCCTGGACTTGTTCAGCAAATTGCATCTTGCAACCCTGTTCATGCCATTTCACATCTTTTGAGCACTCACCTGTACCCTCGCCTCTACACTCACCTGTACCCTCGCCTTTACACTCACCTGTACCCTCGCCTTTACACTCACCTGTACCCTCGCCTCTACTCTCGCCAACCACTTGTTTGTGCAACTATCGCCTGGCATGCACACACACCCATGCAATGCTCAAGCTTCCAGGCATTGTGCATGCTCGGCTCGGCATGCACTCATTTGTTCGCATGTGGCTATGCATATCCTGACTGTCTGTTCGAACGCACATTCCTGGCGGGCCCACCCTCTTCCCACGCACGTCCCCAGGTGTTCCCCTACCATCTGAGCGCATACATCTGTGTTTTTCTGCTGTATGCTGCTATATGCTGCTGTATGCTGCTATATGCTGCTGTATGCTGCTGCATGCTGCTGTATGCTGCTGTATGCTGCTGTATGCTGCTGTATGCTGCTGTATGCTGCTGTATGCTGCTGTATGCCGCTGTATGCTGCTGTATGCTGCTGTATGTTGCTGTATGCTGCTGTATGCTGCTGTATGCTGCTCTATGCTGCTCTATGCTGCTCTATGCTGCTCTATGCTGCTCTATGCTGCTGTATGCTGCTGCCTGCTGCTGTATGCTGCTGCATGCTGCTGCATGCTGCTGTACGCTGCTGTATGCTGCTGTATGCTGCTGTATGCTGCTTTATGCTGCTGTATGCTGCTGTATGCTGCTGTATTTTGCTGTATCTCGACTCAACATACGCCCACCCTTCTCCCCTATGTACCTTCCGTTGGCAGGTGTTTCCGTACCATCTGAGCGCGTACATCTGTGGCGTGCTGCGCATCTCGCCCTTCCGCTTCTACCGAGACATGCTCGTTGACGCCATGGCGCAGGGTGTGGACCCCATTCCAAATCAAAGGCCATGGTCAATGCATGGCAGCGGCTTGTTGCCAGTGGTTGGGAAGTAGCGCGTGTGCTTGTTGAGGGCATGGCATGGCATGGCATGGTTAGAGGATGCTCGTAATGTCTGTGATTGCGAATTGACTGAAGTGTGGATAAAAGTAAATGAAGTTCACTCTTGCAGGCGAAAGCATGATGTAGCTCATGGTATAAGCTATGGCAGTGCGTTCACGCCATGGCACTGTGTTACATGCACAGGCAGGGCAAGAAGCGTGCTGATTCTCCTCTCATCTCCTCCTCACACGGCTTCCTCATTCTTACATTCCTCCCCACCCTTGCCCAACTCCAACTCCCCTCTCCAACCTCCCTCCTCCCCCTTCCCCCTCCCCCCTCCCCTCCCCCTTTCAGAGCGGTCGTACGACAGTCTGCCGAACATCACAGCGGCAGACGTGGTGCGCGAGATGGGAGTGGGGCGCAACCAGTACCTGCACACCATGCTCGCCGCCCGGTCCACGGTGGGTGGTGCGGGTGGGTGGTGCATGTGGGTGGTGTGTGTGGGTCATGCATGCGTAGTGTGTGATGCATGGCATGGCATGTGGGTAAGAGCGATACCTCCATTGTGGCAGCAGTCCCACGTAATTGCGGGCCGTCCTCCACTGGCTTAACCCCCTCAGGGCTTTCATCTCTTCATTACCCCTTTCATCCCACTCTCCTTCCACTTGTTCCTTGCCTTTCCATTCTAATTCTCCTTCCTCTCCCTCCCACCCCAAACCCCTCCCCCTCTCCGCCCTCCCCTCCAGCTGATGTGGCGGCTGAGCCGCAAGCAGCAGTTGAGGGACTGTCTACCGCAGCAGCCAGTGCCAGATGGGGCACTGCAGCCGTGGTGGGGGGTGTGCGCTGTGGCCGTCCAGCCCGACGACCTGCAGGGGCTCTCCCCCGACGAGCTCTACTCGCTGCAGCTGCTGCAGCACACGGAGGGTGGGAGGTTGCTGGTGGGGGAGATGCGCGAGGACGTGGTGCGCCAGCTGTACTGCCGCCACCTCGTGTATCTCGATGTGCCCGTTCTCCCCTCTGACCGCGTGCAGCGTGAGTGGTTCATTCACCTTTCTGAGCCTTTCTCCGCGGTGGTAGTCTCGTTGTAATTGAGGTGCCTCAAGTCAAAGCATGTCTGCGGTACTGCTGCCAGCCATCTCGTCATCTTCATAGGTGACCGCGTGCGCGACTTTGCGTTCACATTGAGTGGGCTGCAGGGGAGGCGCCTGAGGAACACGCACCTTTTTGGGGTGTTCTTGGCACCTTCGGTCCACCACTAAGTCCGTCTTGGTGCTCCCATCCTGCCCTCGGCCTGTGCCCACTGTGGGGGGTGCTTCATGCACTAAGCCCCTCACACCTATTTCCCTCCTTCCCTCCTTCTCCCCCGCCCTTCCGCCCCTGCCTGCAGTGCTCCCCCTGGATGGTTTCGTGTCCAACCGCAACACTCAAGGGGCCCGGGACGTGGAGAAGTGAGAGTGGGGCCTTGATCACAGGGACAGGGAGGGGCGTTGGGAAGGGGTCGGGGGGGAGAAGGGGAGGGGATGCGTATCAGCAGTAGCCTCTTGATTTGAGGATATGCCCTCTTGATGCGTATCAGCGTATCACCACGAGGGCTCGAGACTGGTGCAGCCCATGACTGTTGCTGCTATGCTCATTCATTTCACTGCTTCACTACTCTGCCTCATTCCGTGCGCTTCCCTCGTGCCATATGCTCACCTCTGAGCCTCTGTTCCATTTTCCTCTCTCCCTCTTCCCTCCTCTCTCCCGCCTCCCCCCAAACACCCCCCCAACACCCTCCCCCCCCAAGGCTGTTCTATGACCTGCTAGTAGCAGCGAGCCACACAACCACAGTGGCGGCCCTAGCAGACACCCTCCAGGTGCCCCTGCACCGCCTGCTCCCCATCGTCTCCCTCGCATGCCGCCTCCGCTGGGCCGAGAAGCTCCCTCCCCTGCCCTCCCCCCCCCGCGCTCCGCCTAGCCCCCTGCCGCTAACCAGCACACAGGCTTCGTTGGACTCTCCTGGTGTGGCCCCTGTGGAGGATGGGGGGGAGAGTGATGTATGTGTGGATGACACAGATGCTCCTGCTGCTGCTGCTGTTGAGATTGGTGTTGGCGGAGCGGGCATGAGCAGTGGTTTGCAGATGGCAGCACAGGCCACAGAAGCTGCCACACACAGGCCTGTGCCTGCTGTCGCATCCACTGCTGGCACTCCACGTTCCACTGCAGCTGGAGTTGCAAAACCGTGGGACAGTGGAGCTATGGGTGATGTAGCAGCGGGTGACATAAGAAGCAGTGCGGACTGCCTGATGCCCCATGCAGCATTGCATGCAGAAATGCATTCAGCGCCCGCAGCAATTATATTCCCTGCTTCCATGCATGAAACCATTTGCAGCCCTCTCACCAACATTCCCCTGCCACCTGAACCCACCCTTCCACATCCTTTCCCCCCACCAGTACCCTTCCCCTCCCCAACCCTAGCCCTCGCGCCCACCCTAATCTCCTCTCCCCATCTCTCCCGCAACCCCAGCTCCTGCAGCAGCAGCAGCGCTTTGGGCTTGGGAGGGGGAGCAGTTGGGAGAGGAGCGGGCACAGGGACGGGGCCGGTGGTAGGCGCAGCAGGAGGAGGGGCAGAGGCGAGTGCTGGCTTGATTGGAGGGGCAGGAGTGGGGGTGGGGCCGGTGGGAGGAGCGGGGGAGGGGGATGGGCAGCAGCAACGAGTGAGCGTGGCTCTGCTGGTGGATGCACGCATCACATCGTTCCTCATGATGGGATCCTTTTCCCATGGTGAGCATGTGGCATAGCGGGGTGCACAGGGGATAGAGAGGGAACTCGTGAGTGGGATCCTTCTCCTAAAGTGCGTGCATGTGGGGTGCAGGTGCGGGTTGGGGGGAGGGGGGAAAGGGGTGGAGGGTTAGAAGGTTTGTGACAAGGTCGATCGGCATGTGTATGAAATAGGGGCTGTTAGGAGCAGCGGATTAGACGAAAAAGGGACCACAGAAACTTGAGAAACGCGTGCTCTCTCTCACCATCATGCCTCATTTCGCAGATCCCTCCCTCTCTTTCCCCCGATGCTCTCCCCCCTTCGCCAGATCTGAAGCGGCACGCAGTGATGCTATTTGAGGCGGGCAAGCTAGCAGAGCCGCAGGTGCTGCAGCTGTGGGAGCAGCTGCTGCTCGTGGAAAGCAGCCCTGACCTCGCAGGGGACCTGTTGCGCCTTCGCACCCTCGCCTCCTGCCTCCGCTGCGCCATTGCTACCCTGCGCTCCCTCTCCCTTCCCTCTTCCCTTTCGTCCTCCTTGTCCTCCCCCTCTCGCTCCTCTTCGTCTCCTTCTTTCTCCTCCTCTGCTGCCCTCTCACTGCCTCCCCAACTTCAACCACTGGTGAACCACCAAGGCCCTGCTAGTGGGAGGGCAGGGGCGGATGGGGAGGAGCAGGAGGAGGAGGAGGGGGAGGGGCGGATTGCAGTGGAGGATAGGACGGAGAGGGAGGAAGAGGGAGGTGCAGCGCAGGGAGATAGCCACATTCACGGCCATGGGAGCATAGAGGATTGGCAAGGCACAGTAGGCACAGAAACGGCTGACGAGACATCATGGAGGGCCATATTCTCCCCTCCTCGTGCGTCCTCTCTCCCTGAAACTGCTGCTGGTTCTGCTGACTTTGCCAGTGCTGCTGGCCCACTCGCTCCCGTGCTGCATGACTTGCCCGTGCTTGCATCAGCTGATGATCTCTCATTGCCAGCAGCAGCATCTGGAGCAGCAGCAGCAGCAGAAGGAGCGGCAGTAGCAGCGGCAGCAGCAGCAGCAGCAGGAGCGGCAGTAGCAGAAGGAGCAACCGCAACTGCTGTCCCATCAGCATCAGCATCAAGAGGCGACACCTCGTCTGTGGGGCCTGGGGATGGAATGGAAACAGCTACCTCTCTGCACCCATCCGTAACTGGAAGAAACTCCTCCCCAGCACCAGCTGGCGCTACTGGTTCTGCTGCCTCCTCTGGTGCAGCCACTACAAGTGCCACCACCACCACCATAATCAGCACATCCAACAACACTACCTTCCTCCCAAGCGCATCTCCTTCCCCTGACTGCCCGTCCCCCATGCCTCCTCACCGTGCCCTTACCCCCTCACACCTCACCCCTCCTCCGGCCATCATCACCTCTCCACGCTCCCCTCACTCCTCTTCCACCACCCCTCGCTCTACCAACCCCCACTCTGCCTCCTCATGGTCCCACCGACTCAGGCAAGCTGCAGGGGCCGCGGGAGCGCGACTGTCAGAGTCACTCTCCAGGCCCCCGTCAGGTCCACTGCAAGGGCCAGTTTCTGAATCAGTAGCCCCCTCTCTCCACCTTCCCTCGCTCTCCTCCCTCTCCTCCTTCTCCTCGCTCTCCTCGCTGCACCTCTCCCACAGCAGCATCTCCCAGGCGCTGACAGAGGTGGCCGGGACCATGGCAGGCAGTGTGGCAGACAGAGTGTCAGCCGCTGCTGACTCTCTCGCTGCTGCCATCACGCCAAGGGGGGCCCCGGCACGTCATGAGGTGCTGTTACACACCCCACGCTCCCAGGGCGGAGCAAGGGGAGGGGATGGGGTGCAAGAGAGAGCAAAAGCAACAAGTATGGGCAGGTCCAATTCAGATGGTACTCCGCGGCATCATTCCCCTGTGACCAGCATTCGTCCTGGTTTAATCACGAAAAATTGCTTAGAAAAGTCTCCGCCTCTCCCGTCTAACCGAGTGGAGATTATTCGGGGGGAGAGTCTGGCGTGCCTCTCCCCGTCCATCCGCCATCGGCTGCTGTGCCGCGACTACCATGTCATTGTCTCCGCTCTCCCACTCCTCCCCTCCGCCATGCTCACACCTCCCTTCCCTGACTTGCCCCCTGCTGCATCTACCACTGCCACTGCAGTAGCTGCATTTGCGGTGGCACCTGCAGCAGGCATTGTTTTCCTTCCTCCTGCTGCTGCTGCTGCTGCTGCTGCTGCGCCTGTTACACCTGGGGACCCCTCTTTGACCGCTGCCAGCATCATCTCTCCCCACAGCTCCTCTGTGCTTCCGCTCCCCCTAATGCTCTCTCCATCTGCAGCAACCACAGCGCTAGCACAGGACATAGATTCACCTGCGCTTCCCACACCAGCAGCAGCAATACCACCACCAGCAGCATCCCCACCAGCAGGCCCAGCAGCAAACCCAGCAGCAGCAGCAGCGGTGGCGCACTATGGATCCCCTGCGCCTGCCTTTGCCACGCCATGGCTGAAGCTGCTCCTCTACGTGCTCGCCCGCTCCGGCCCTCTCACTGTCATTCTCGTGCGCGGGCAGAGGCTCAGACACCTGCCCATGGTGCTGCGCGCATGCGAGTGCGCCCTGGTGGGCATGTGGGACGGGGGGGATATCCGCAAAGGGGGGAGGGCAGGGGGGGGAGGTGGGGATGAGTGGTGGGGGGATGGGGGGGAGAATGGTGGTGGGGGTGGGGGTGGGGGTGGGGGAGGGGATGGGGAGAGGAGGCGGTGGGGGGGTTGACAGTGGTGCCTGGAGGCGTGTTGCTGCATGTGCTGAACACGCTGCTGGTGCGGTCAGCTGTGATGGTTCAGCCTCTCGCAAGTACTCGGTATTCCATCAGACACATACCACTGCCTCTCCTCCCCACGCCCCGGCACAATGTTGATCCAGGATGTGCTGCTGATGGTGATGCTGCAGCATATGCTGCTGACGACGATTCTGCAGGAACATGTGTTCTGTTACGTGAGACATCAGGAGCAGACAAAGCGGAGGCAGACAAACCAGAGGCAGACAAGGCAGGGGCAGAGAAAGCAGGGGCAGAGAAAGCAGGGGCAGCTCACGTGGGCCAGGGCGGCATGGCTTGGGGTGGCAGCACGAGTGTGACTGCAGGGGAGGGCGAGGTGGACGAGGGGAAGGACCTTGACACAGGAAGGGGGAGGGCTGCAGAGCAGGAGAGGGAAAAGGAGGTCGGTAGAGAAAGGGAGGGGGCGGAAGGAGGAGGACAGCAGCTGGTGGGAATGAGGAGTATCGAGCGAGTGGCGCATCGCCTGGGGCTGACAGGCATGGGCGTGCTCACACTCATGCAAGTGGCCAGAAAGAATGGCGAACCAAGCACCCTAATGGCAGTGGGAGTGGAGAATGGTGCTGGCATGGCAGAGCGTGTCAATCAGCATGCTTGCAGCGGTGGTGGCAGTGCGGATGCTGCTGCTGCTGAGGAGAGCGGAGTTGCCTGTGATGCTATCGAGCCTGAGAGGGACTGGGTGCCTCACTCGCTCAGTCTTGGCTTGCCACTCTTTGATGCCGTGCTCTGTGCTCAGGTATATGGGCGTTGTACTAGTGCAGTGCAGGGGGAGCTGAGGGTTTACTTTGTAGGAGACTCTTTGAAGCCTCCCTCTGTGCTCCTCAGGTACTCAGGCCACTGTGCGCACTAGTGGCGAAGTTTATTGGTTGTGGCCATTCTCCAATGCTCTACACTGCAACATGATCTGTAGCAGAAGGAGGCGTGTCTGGTGAGAAGTGGAGCTGTCTGCCTCGTCGGCGTTCAAATGCTTGGCAGGGCCTCGAATTAAACGACCAACAGCTTCCAACAGACTCAAGTCACGCTCAACTTATCGCCTCAACGCACCCCATTTCCACCCATCTCCTCTTACCCCTCTCCCCCCCCCCCCCCCTTTCCCCCCTTTCTCCCGGCCCCCCTTCTCCCCTCCTCCCTTAACCACCGTGCCGCACCCGCCTCTGCCCACCACTGCAGGTGTGCAGCGCCGCCCATCAAGCGTCTCTCCTGCACGATTCCCAGCGGCAGCAGCAGCTGGCAGCAGCAGCCACCACGCGCGCTCTTCTCCTCGCTCTTATCCGAGACCTGCGCCCCCACAGCGCCCTCTGCCACGCTGTCTCCCGGCTGCACGCGCACCGAATCATCGCGTTTCAACACAAGTGGATGCTTGCGGGAGAGGGTGGGAAGCTGTGCGACTGGGTAGGGGGAGGTAGATATGGGAGGCGGTTGAGATGGGGGGGAGGGAGTGGAGAGGAGCATGCGGACAGTGGCAACGGCAGCGGCCCTGGCGTGGAAGAGAGAGATGCGTCTGCTGAGCGGTGGGAGCAGGCAAAAGAGAGTGAGGGCACGGGCTGTGGGAGTGGGAGCAGGAGGCAGGCAGATGGTGCAGTGAGTGTGGGAGCATGCTTTGGGAACAAGGCCGGTGCTGGCAGGAGCTGTGGGTGCTGCAGGGACGGGTGTGGAGGCAGCGCGAGGCATAGTATGGGGGGCAGAACGAGGGGCAGCGGGCATGGCAGTGGTCTGTTTATCTGTGTGCATCTGATAGCAGGGCACTGCATGCAGGGCGGGTGCAGAGAGGCTCACAGGGTGCAGCGCAGTCGCTCGTCATCAAAGTCGTTGTCAAACAACAAGTGAGAGTCAAGCCCTGCGTTTCTTGCTTTGCACCATGGCTGTTTCCTACACAAGGGCTGCATTCTCCTTCGAGTGAAGTCTACTGTGATTCAACCTTTGCAGACCTCCGTCTCATGCATACATGGCTGCTATTTTTTCTGCATGCCCCAGCCCCACTGAACTTTGCTCTTAGCCCTAAAACATTGCCCACCTGCATTGTCTCACTTCTGGCCTGCCCCTACTCTTCCTTCAAGTACCCCTCATACCCTTTCCCCCTGGTCTCTCTTTCCTTCCCTATACCAATGCGTGTGCCCCTGACTCTCCCCCTGGGCACTTCCCTTTGCCTGCTGCCGTTTCTCAGGCGAACAAACCCCCCACCAGCAGACACCGGAGAGCACCTGGAGCCGCCAAGCATTGCGTGCACGCAGGTCCGAGCGAGCTGTGACTGTGCAGCAGAGGAGAGTCTGACCTCGCCAGTGGGTGCAACTCCGCCTGCCATGTCTGACCATTTGATCCCTGCTGACATGTGTCGCTGCTACTCTTCTTGTAGCAGTGATGACTTGAAGGATGATGCTGCTGGTGCTGGTAATGTTGGTGTTGGTGCTGGCAGTGGTGGTGCTGGTGCGGGTGGTGATGGTTATCATGAGACCGAGGAGGAAGAAGATGTTGATGACGACGACGAACTCACATCGCTGGTTCTCCCTGGTTTGAACCTCTACTTCGACGGCACCTCCCTCTGGCCTCTTGACCTCTCCTCGTTCCGCCAGGGAAGCGTGCTGCCAAGAATAGTGCCACCGCCTAATCGCACCAGAAAGCAGGAAGGCAGATAGATACTGATCGGCTGGAAAAGAGCCATAGGATCTTTGGCAGAGACGAAGTCCTTCAGAAGATAGAGTGCTTGTTCGCACAGCGGAAGTCTGAGTTGAACCCTTGTACTACTATGTGAGAACTGTTGGGCTGAGAAAAGCCCTTAGGATCTTTTCAGAGACTAAGTCCCACTTGTACAAGATGCTTGAGTAATGCAGCGGAAGTGTTGAGTAGTTGAACCCTTGCACTAGTTTGTGAGAGCAAGTGATTGATTAAAAGAAGCAAGCATACAGCAATATATAGAAAATAGGAAATGAAGCAGTTGTAGAATACAGTTGAAGAAACGGTTATCGAGTCGCAGAGCGACTCGATCGATGGTTCGATTACCACCCTTGCAGTCGTAACGGTCAGTCGCAACCTCCGGTTGCGATCCTTCGAGTCCCTTCGTCCTTTCGTGTTCTTTCGTCCAACTTCCTCGTGTAACCTCCGTTGACTCGCGTACTCGATACTGTTAAGAACTTAGGATGCTAGGTCCCTAAAGTTAGGACACTAGCTTAGCTAGGATAGGAGCAAGGCCGCCATGGACCGGCGCTAGGAAAAACGGATCTAGGAGTAGGAGGAAAGTCGAGAAGAAAGGATATTGGATTAGGAAGAGAAGGGAGTACAAGGAGGGGTTTGTACCCCCTACAGAAAGGTTCAGTAGCAACCTACCAAGCCTATATAAAATTATAACTTATATAATTTTAACACACCCCCTAGGCTTGGTAGTGTCAAGCCCACTCACACCCCACACCCGCACCCAACCCACCCCCTAACCCCGCACACCCTCAGGCTCGTGCTTAGCCGGGTATCTGACCCTCAGGCAAAGCGTTGACACACCCCCGTACACGAGGCAGCCGACGGCGTCTAGGCGGGTCAGCGACAAGCAGCCGCGGAGCTCTGGCTCAAGGCGGCTGGGTCGCGGACAACAGGCGGCGACCGCCGCGGCTGAGGGCTCTCGGTGATGTGGCAACGTCCGGGCAGAAGACAGCAGCTGCGACAGGAGGAGGGGAAGACGCAGGGGGAAGGGAGAATGGGGGGGGGGGGGGGGGGGGGGGGGGCGGGGCGAGTCTTCAGCGACGCGCCATAAATGGCGCGGCGCTTACTGGCGGGAGGACGTCGTCCTGAGGGACGCCCGTGGCTGGCGAGCGGACGGCAGGCCCGCCGACGCCACAGACGTCGCTCGGCCGGCCGCAGCCCGTCGATGCCGTCGGCTGCCGTAGACGCCGCCGCAGCGCACCGTCAATGTCGCAGCGGTGAGGCGGACGGGCGACGGCTGCACCAAGGGGCCGTCGCGACACCTTGGCGCCGCGACGGCAGGCAACGAGGGGCCGTCGCGACACCTTGGTGCCGCGACGGCGGGCAACCAGGGGCCGTCGCGACACCTTGGTGCCGCGACGGCAGGTAACAAGGGGCCGACGCGACATCCTGGCGTCGCGACGGCAGGCAGGCAGAAAACCGCGAAGGCTGCGAATGCAGCAGGAGTACGCAACGGGAACGTAGGGAGAGGGTCCGGTGGACACGACCGGCTCTGATACCATGTTAAGAACTTAGGATGCTAGGTCCCTAAAGTTAGGACACTAGCTTAGCTAGGATAGGAGCAAGGCCGCCATGGACCGGCGCTAGGAAAAACGGATCTAGGAGTAGGAGGAAAGTCGAGAAGAAAGGATATTGGATTAGGAAGAGAAGGGAGTACAAGGAGGGGTTTGTACCCCCTACAGAAAGGTTCAGTAGCAACCTACCAAGCCTATATAAAATTATAACTTATATAATTTTAACAGATACGACTTTCCTTCGAGTGTAGTGTTACACTTCAGAAACGCTTAAGTCTTCGAGGTATTTCCAACACTCCCCTTCGTTTCTGGAGTGCTGACGTGTCCGGATTCGGTGACGTTTATCTGCCCTGTCAGCAGCATGCAGTAATCGAACTTTGCCTTTGCCAGTTTCTTCGTTAGGTAATCTGCAGCCATTTCTGTCGTGGGGCAGTAACTGAGTTGAAGTCTCCCCTTTGCGAACTCATCCTTGACAAAGAAATACCGCAGAGCGATGTGCTTGGTTCGATTGGCGAACCTGTTTTTGTTCGCGATTTTGATCGTGGATTGGTTGTCGCAAAATAGCGAGAAGGCGGGCATGGTCGCAATTTTCGCTTCCTCGAGCAGCTCCCGCAGGTAAAGTCTTTCTTTGGTCGCAGAGCAAAGAGCGATGTATTCCGCTTCAGCCGAGGATAGCGCGATTAGTTCATGCTTGCTCAATTGCCAGGAGATAGTCGCGATAGGTTCTAGTCGGTAGATGTAGCCCGTTCTGGAGCGACGGTTCTCCCTATCTCCCGCGTGGTCGGCGTCGACATAGCCGAGTAGCTGCACGGACGATCGCGTTACTTTGCTGTAGGTTAGTCCGGTCGTTGGCGTAGAGACGAAGTAGAGCAGTGTTCGGTTTAGTTCCTCGAGATCCTCTTGCTCTGGCTGCTTCAGGTGTGTCGCCAGTTGGCTCGCGCTGTAGGACAGATCCGGTCGGCAAGTTACTGCTGCGAACAGTAGACAGCCAAGCTTCTGTTGGTATTCCTGGATTTGCTTCGCGAGGAGCTTTGCGGAGGTGTCGCTGTTGTTCCCGTAGCGATAGGGAGTCGCGACTGCGACTGGCGTTAGGCCGAATTTCTTCGCGACAACGCCTGCGTATTTTCCAGCGTGTAGGTAGAGTGCCGAGTCGTCTTCAACGATGTTTAGACCTTAGGTACTGGCTCACAATGTCTGACACAGTGAGTGTTAAGTCGCTCCTCAGCTCCCCTTCGAACCAGGTGGCGACGTCGGTAGTGGAGCCGACGTAGAGTAGGTCATCGACGTAGACGATGAGTAGGATGAAGTCCCCCCCTTTCTGTAGTCGGTACATCCCTTGATCGTGCGGCAGTTGCAGAAAACCGATCCAGATGAGGTGGTCGTGAAGGTACTGCTGCCAGAGCCGCGGGGCTTGTTTAATTCCGTAAAGGGATTTTGCCAGTTGGCACACTTTTCTGGGATCGTCGATGAATCCGTGGGGTTGCTCGACGAAGATTTCGGCGTCCACAGGTGCGTAGAGGAAGGCGTTGGCGACGTCGATTTGGCGCAGTGGTAGTATTTTCGTGGCCGCGACGGCAAGCAGAATGCACAGGGAGGTATGTAGTCGGTTCCGTATCGCTGGTCGAAGCCTCGGACGACCCCGCGAGCCTTGAAGCGGTCGATGGAGCCGTCCGTATTAGTCTAGATGCGGTACACCCATTTCCCCGAGAGCACATTCTTCCCGTTGGTTTTTGTTGCAGGTACTAGCTTCCACGTATTTCGGTCTTGCACGGCCTTCAGTTCCTTTTCCATTGCTTCCTTCCATTTTGCCTTGTGTTCCCCCCACAGAGCCAGCGACAGAGTCGTAGGCTTGCGCGGTGACGGCGACGGACTCTGGACGGCGACCCATAGTCCAAGTATCTGCAGGCCCGTGGGTGTGTGTCGAGGGGAATTGTCATTCGCGGGATAAGCTTCTTCGTCACCATCTTCGGGATCAGGTAAGAGACTTGGTCCGATGCGTTCAGAGACATTTGTGTGTACTGGTTGAGGTGTAGCGTAACCCTGGTCAGCGAAGTGGTAATAGGTGTTGAGGTTGTAACTATTGAGAGGATTGCCGTCGTCGAATAGAACGGGCACGGAGCAGTAAGGGAGTGGTCCGGCAGCTTCCGAGGCTCCAGGTACGTTTTCTTCTGCTGCGTTAGCTTTGGCAGCACGAACGGCGAAGGATCGATGACCCGCGAAGCCGTCGGTGCGGGCGTCTTTGTTGGCGATGTTGTCCAGGTAATGTTGCAGCGTAAGTCGCTCGTAGAAGATCACATCACGTGAGGCCACGGTGGTTTTGTCCTGAATGTCGAGAAGCTTCCAGGCGTGGAAATGTTTTGCGATGCCGAGGTGTAGTCCCCACCGTGCTCGTTGAGAGAATTGACCTGCTCGGGCTGTGTGGGATCTGTACTGTACCATGCAGCTGAAGACTCGAAGTAATTTTGTGCTGTCTGTTTTCCTGTCCACAGCAGGTGCGGTGATGCGCCATTGGGAAGTGATGACGAGGACAGTAAATTGTGCTGGTGGACTGCATGCGTCATCGCGTCAGGCCAAAGCGTGTTGGGCAGTCTCATCCCCAGGAGCACCTTCCGAATCGTCGTCTGCAAGGTTCGGTTCATCCTCTCTGTGACCCCCTGCTGCTGGTGAGCGTAGGGCAGGGACACCACGCGTCTGATGCCTCTTTCTGCCAAGCAGTTCCTGAATCGTTGTGACTGGTACTCTAGTGCTCCGTCGGACTGGGAGCTCTTAAGTTGCGAGCCCGATTCTCGTTCAGCAATGGGGAGCCACGTTGTGAAGGCTTCAAACGCTTGATCTCGTGTCTTAAGGTTGTAGTGCCAGACGTATTGTGTTGCTGCATTGATGAATGTGATGACATAGTTGTACTCTGCTTCACTGTCGTCTTGAGGCATATTTAAGATGTCGCTGTAGACTTTTTCCATCGGTGCGTATGCAGGTGCGCTTGGATTGTGGTGCGACGAAAAAGGTTGGTGGGAAAGATCAGCTTCGGGACACGTGAAGCATCGTGCGCGGGGTCGTTGAAGCTCCTGGCCGCTCGTTGTGAGAAGAGCGTCCTTTTCTAATACTCCGGCTTGTATGGTTTGTAGTACGGTGCTGTTTGCAAGATGTCCGAGGCGTTGATGCCAGATGTCGCGGGAGCGCGATGGCCGGGTGAGCGCTGGTACAGATCGGCGTTAGAGAAGAATGCGACGACCGTGGCGGGACTGCCGCAGACTCCTCGGGTGATGGGCATGAGTTGATCCGCTTCGGATGGCGGTCCTCAGATTGCTGGTGACAGCGCACGTCTGAGTCCTGCTACTGCTACTGCAGGTGATGTCGGGTGAGGGACGCTTGTTGGTACTTGTCGTTCTTGTCGGATGACTGCTAATGCTCGTGTTCTTTCTGCTGCAGGGAGGGTGTTGGAGTACCAGAATCCGTCTGGAGTGAAATCGGGGTCAAGATCTGGCGGATGCGTCCAGGCGGCGAATGACACGATGCCGTCGCTGTCGGTGGGGTCTGTTGTGTTGGCGATGTTGTCCAGGTAATGCTGCAGCGTTAGTCTCTCGTAGAAAATCACATCACGTGAGGCCACGGTGTTTTTGTCCTGGA